TTAGAGTATTTACTGTTCATCAGTTGCCAGTATTAGTTTCTATGCCCCTGTCATTATTTCACATGAATTGTGTTTTAGTCCCCAAGCAGAAATCGATTTTCTTTGCAGACTCTTTGATTAGAACTGAATAAGTCACGAATTATGATAAATATTTGTTTATTTGTTGTTGTTGTTTTTTTTTTTTTTTCAATTCTTTTATTAATGTTTCTTTTTTCTCCACTTTGTTATATGTTCACACTTGTTGGTCTTCTTGTCCAAATAATGCGATAAGGGGCAACGCTTTTCGACGTTAGGCGGTGCGTCAACCTCACGATGGTCACAGCCCGCCTTCGGGCATGGCAAAACGCATGACAGTACTGCCTTCTGCCAGACAAAACCGTCAGCGCATTGATCCTTTACAAGGATGGTGGGCTTCAAGTCGCCCAATTTGCTGGCGATGGCCTTAAACTTTTCGCATTTCTTGGTAGAGGTGTTGAGATAGTACGGATCTAACGAGATGATGTTATTTGTGTTTTGCCATGGACAACAATTACTACTCACGATAGCATTGGGTGACTTTCCCCAGTGACACCAGACCGAGCAGCAGAAGCAACCAAGGGATGACTTGAATTAGATGACGCATTTTCCACGAGTCCATCAAGCCAAGTGGTAAACAACGTTAAATATACAAACCAATTCGTTTCAGCTGTGGATACTTATTTAGCAATTTCTTATGCATATTTACGACAAGCGTTAAGTAATTCGAGAAGCTATAAAGTCTCTCAATGCCACGCTGACCTTTCTATCCACTCGGATACTGGATGGAATAACAAACACGACAACCTCAAAGTTTTAATGAGTACAATTTAGTTCAAGTCAATGATACGCCCACTAACGACTACACAGGTAACCACCAACCACCAACCACCAACCACCGATCACCCAGCCAGCACCGCCCACTTTTATAAATTTTCCAGAACACAAAGCCTCGGGTCAATGGGCAAATATTCAGCAGCTAACTGTAATTAGCGCTTCACAATTTATTATTTAATTCAGCCATGGCACAATATTCAGATAATAATAATAATAAAACTAATATGCATCAACTGAAAGCGTTGCGCCAAATGTCTGCGACGGCCATTAGCAATTGATTGCGTATACGTGATGTTGTACGATTTTATTGCTGCTTGTTTGACAGCAACAGGAAGTTTGTGTGTGGCTGTATTTGTGTTTGTTTTGCGCGCATACATTTTGTTGTTTATTAATATTTATTTTTGTGGCCAACGCAAAATAACAATAGGGTTATAGATAGAGCAGAGTGAATCGATGCCCAAAATCGATAGCCACGCAATTTTTACAAATTCATGCAGGGCCTGGCCGATAAATGCACATACATCTATATAATGTATATATATTTATTTTATAAGCAAACATGTTACTATAAATAACAAAAAAAAAAAAAAATTTACTTTTTATACATATTCGATACATTCCACAGAAATATCCTTTTATTTGGCTTTTTTTGCAGGCCAAGAGCCAAACATTATTTATGCTGTCAGTAATAACAACTTCCATTCGAGTACTGAGCCCCGAAATTGAACACATTCTCTTTTATTATGGCAGACTTTTGACTACTTTTAAGGCATGGCAGTATAAGCCATGCGGTTCCTAAAAACGCCCCATTTATATTTATTGGAGTTGGCCGGCAAGTCGACGGCGTATTGAACGCTTGATTGTCGCTGACAAAGGATTAACCGTAAGGACAAAGCCATCGAATGCGCGAATGCGAGCTGACAAGTTGGCAACATTCATACCGTAAGATGGCTGACAGGGCTGACAAGGCCATCGTTTGGTAAATTATATGAGCAGAAGAAGACTCGTTGGCACTCGGCTGGCTTCACAAAATGGCATTTAATTTTTCATGTTGTCCATTCCATTTTGTGGCCCTTCACCACCAGCGTTGATGTTTGTTTTTCCTCTGTGCTCCTGTTTTTTGTCTTTAAATGTTATAAATGAGAGCTGTGCTCTGTTGCTTTGTTGTGTGGCTTAACCCAGAAATTAGTTGTCATTCTGCTAATAGTCCACTCGCACCTTTTTCATACAGTTATATAAATGTGCTTTTTGTGTTTATTACTTTTTATTATCATTGCCATCATCCTGTGGTGGACTGCGACCAGTGCGTGATCATTGGCCCAAATAATATTTAATACATTTCATTGCCATGCCGTTCCACTCCTTGCCATTGGGGCATTTACACTGGCTGGCCGGAATCATTAAAATAATGACCAACGCCAGCTGATGCAGCTTCATATTTTACTTTAGCTCTTAACGGGTTCAGTCCGCAACATGACATGTTCACGAAAATAGCATTAGCAAATATATAAATAAGCCGATTGGTCAAAGCTTGATAACACTTCATCTCAGTTTGCCCCATGTCCAATGACATTATAAACAAGTTTCCTTTTTTTTAATTATAGCCACATTCAAGTACTGCAATATCTAGCTGCATTTTAGCATGACAAACGGATTTGGACATGAAAATGTATTTAGCTTATCAAACATGTCGCTACAAATGTTTTCACGCTAAAATAGAAAACGAAAATAGTGCCTAGTCAATAATAAAAAATTAATGTATACTGCGTAAATAATACTGTGTATTATTGCGTATATAATACGATAAAATGTCTATAAATGTGCTTGTATAAATAATTCTACGCATAAACAAAAGAGAAATGAATATATCACGCATATTCCAATTATTTAGCTAGATAATACGTATTTAAATTTACTCAATTAATATCTATTTTCAGGTAGGTTGAGATATTTGATTTATGCACCTATGAATATCGAAAGTATTTTGTTTAGTTAGTTATTATGCT